TACATTGAAGTTAAACAAATGACCATAATTAATTTCAATAAATTACAAGTTAAAAAGGGCGTTGAAATTTCTCTTTTTTTGTATTAAAAAATATCAAAACGTGAGACTAAAGAACCGAACTGAATCGTGAATTTTCTGTATCGTTGCGCCCCTACTTTACATGTTGGTATAATTAACGGTGTGACCCTCAATGAATGTGCTGTACAATCAGCAAAAGGTTTACATTTCAAATCACTATACTGAGCGAGGAAGTCTCAAACATTCTGGAGTGTGTTACACAAGATAAAAAGTAAAATAATGTACTTGAATTAAAACAGCTTACAGGAAAGGTGGGTGATCTTTTCATCAAGATTTCTCGCTCTGCATCTCTCCCTCGGTCAAACATTGTGGGGTCAGGGTACAGGAAATCTCTGCTGTTTTTCTCCATCGTGGCCAAGATTTCACCCTCTAAAAGCCACCCACAAACATTAAAAAAAATAAATAAATAACAACACACAGATAAAAAGAATCCATGTAAAAGATGTTGATTTTGCACTGTACTTAGTAGATAGAGTGGGATTTAACGTGGCCATATGGCATCGGAAAGCGTACCTGGAGGGACCAACTGAATCAGCTCAAAAACTGTTGTGTCAGCTATGAGGAAGAAAGGCATAAACAGACTGTGAGCTAATGATTGCTATCTCAGCTAATAGCCTATAAGATTGCGCAGAATACAATTTAGGGCTAAGAGATGAGAAAGTAAATCCCAGATGGCCGTTTACCTTCGAGGAGGTCAGCAACATCAGCAGGGTCAACAACACCCGAGAAAGTCTGGGGAAACAAACAAGAGCGCAGAACAAAAGATCAATAATAATAACAACGTCAGGCTGACAGGCCAGTATCTAACACTGCCATTTACTTTAGTTACAAAGAGAATTTTTTATCTGAACTAAAAGTAAAATCATCTAATTGGAAGCATAGAATAAAAATTATTCCAAGTACTTTTATTTATATTTTTGCTATTTTCTAGATGTTTTAACATAATTTGATGCTGTTTTAAATGCTGGGCCACCTAAAAGCATGTATGGCACCATATTGAAACTATTCACTCATTGTCTAGAAAAACAAACAAAAAAAGGATCTGATTAGGGAGAATTCATCTCATCTGCAGTAAAACTCATCACCATAAAAATCTCCAAATTTTTACCCTCCTCATATCTTTCCTTTCTTCCCTATGACCTCTGGAAAGTTTTATTTTATTTTTTGGAGATTTCCTCAGTTTCCTCTCATCAGCAGAGCTCGGTGCCAGTGGGTTCTTTGGCCAGGCACGCTCAGCGACAAAAATATCTCCTGGACCCCACCGTGCGCAGATGGCCTCTCAGCTTGGCTCGTCACGACTCACCGTCTATTACAGGAGGCTTGGTGATGGACGGTCAGCTTCTGAAGGAGAATTTCTTTCCCCGCGTTTATGGCCGGAGACACGGAGGATGCCCTGAATGCAGCTTGGCTCATTGCCGAGGGAAACCGCAGGCTCTGGAGATCAGGTGTGGAGGGGTTGCAAGCAAAACGTCGTGGCGTGTGAGCCGGGAAACAGACGGCGAGCTGTGGCAAGGAGTCGACTTTGAAATACTCACAAAAGCCTTTTTTTCAGCTGCTTTAGTCCACATTTCACAATCTCTGTTGAACATAAACAATGGCTAATACTGATAATATTGTTTATGTTGTGTAATCAACTTCACCGGATCCCAAAGCGCAATCATTATCACTGTGTTATTCTTCTTCTATTAATGGGGAGGTCACAGACATGTGAATGCAGTGTGTCAGCATCTTGCCTGGCTTTCACTCAAGTGCATTCTTTGTATATATAATGGTCTCGTCGAATCAATAGCAGGTCATTGTCATGGCTCAGGGGTGTGCCAGGCTGATGAGATTATGGTGCATGTGAGACAAAGGCGACTGCGGGGTGGGGACACGACTTGTTTACTGCAGCTGTTTGCTGTCGGCACCGCATTTAGCGGCTTTAACCGCCACGTTTCCCGCACTTTGTCCTGCCAGACAGTAAGACAAGATGATGAACAGACAACGTGGCCCCTCGTGGTCAAATTATCAAGTCACGTGTGAGACGCCTGTCACGATTGGACAGGAGTTAACAAGGAGACAAGCAAGGGGACTTTGGAGTCATCAATATGGGCCACTGACAGGTCTTGTCAGTGCACTGACACGTAGAGAACTAATTATCAATGCTAATTAATGGGATAGTCAACAACGGCAATACAGGAAAGGACATTTTTTTGTACCCAAGAGTGAATCTACTGAAAGTCCTCACGTCTTAGTGGTCCAAGGGGACAAAAAGGAGCTGATTTAAACAGAATCCACCTTCCATGCCAAGGAGACAAGCTCTTAAACCTGAATAACAAAATCAGAGAGGTATAAGAAAGGCTTCTGTCTCCTTCAAGCAGGTTGACATTAAACATTTGTTTATCTTAATGCCGTGTATCATGGTAAATTTAAGGGACCTTTTGTTTGTAGGGACTCTGCATCAAACATTGTTAATGTGACTTTTTCTACTCATCAAACTGACTAAATGCTAACAGAGGTGTCAAAAACATTCACATTAATTACTCACGTATGGATACTAGGGTTTAAAAAGGCATCTGTAGAGGTTGAAGTATCAACTCATGCTTTTTACTCAAGTAAAAGTGAAAAGTACTGGTTTTAAAACTACTTCAAGTATAAAAGTAAAACTAATGTTAAAAAAGCCATTAAAGATAAAAGCTTAGGCTGCACCACAACCCCACCTCCCCAAAAACATTTTGTCTAAAGACAGTATTGACTGTAATGTTATATTAAAATGTTAATATTGAAGCATTTGGGATGCACTAGTTTACCTGTTTCAGTTGCCTATACCTCTGCTGCGCTCATCTTCATATTAGGCTACATATGTCTGATATGTTCTGCCACAGTGTGACGTGATCAGTGTCATGTGGAATTGTGTACAAACCGATAGTGTCAGAATGACGAAATTTATACTTTGCATTTAACAATTAAATTTATTTTATCTGGGTAGTGCCATATATCTTGATATATTTCTTTTAAACAATGACAAGCAAAAATAAATACTTTTTACATTTTTTAAATGCAAGGAGCAGAAGTAAAAATCAGCTGAAAAATAATTCCTCCAGTAAAGTATAGATTACCAAAACTTCTACTGAAGTAAGGTAAAGAAGTATTTGTACTTTGTTACATGATGCCTCTGAATGCTAAACCTGTCAGTCTATAATGACCGAGTATTTAACATGGATATAATTCCTACAAAACCTACGACTTATGCCAGAACAAAACAAACACATTGCTGAAAAGAACTATATATGTAAACACAAAACTGTTGTTCAAACAGAACAAATTTTCTTTTTTGAACTCATTCATTGTTTAAAAAATGATTGTTTCTGTATGTAAAAATACAGTATATATTTCCTGTAGGATTTTATAGAAGATAACTTCCTTCTGTTCTTTTGTATTAATCTATCATCAATCAGTGCGATTTTAAAGGAAAATATTAAAACCAATCAAATTGAAATCAACAACATTCTTCTTTTTATTGTTCTTATTCTTAAAGCTCCACTATTATTCATTTGTTATACGTGGATATTTAAACACATTGTCTCAGCTGACTTCTACAATTTGTTTTTGCAACCAGTAGCTGTTTTTTTTAGTCATAGTCGTAAATTTAGACATATTTTTCTCTGATGCTCTTCCAGCTCCATCACATTCGAACTGTTTCAGTTCTTTTTAAGGCTAAACTTAAAATTTTAACATCATCCTGTTTGGCCATTTCTGCTTTGTTTCCTAACTGTATTTGACAGTAACTTTATCTTGTTTCAGCATCAAACCCTTTCTAGCAGTGAGCACTACTTAAATTTTCTTTGAAAACACAGCCTTTCAAACAGCTCAAATGCATTTGTCCAAATTTTCTCAGACGCTCTGTAAACACTTATCGGTACAAAAAAGTACTACAAAATGGCCACGACTGTTTGTAAATCTTTGAGCGTACTCGTCGTGACACCCGTTCATCTAAGCATAGCAGCAATATTTGCGCAATCAACTGTGTGCATGAACGCGAGCGTCTTCCGTGCAAGCTGGCCTGCGTGTGCGAGCACCTATCCATTTGTGCGTATCTGTGTGATGTGATGTGTATGATGTGTGGTAGTGAGGCATATTTGCCTCCCAGCTATATCATTTGCATACCTGTCACAGCCTGTGTGTTGGGGTGTCAGGTTCAATGATGCGTACTGTTTTCCACTGGCAGCTCTGGTATTCGTGGAGTCCCACTGTTACGGTGATGTGCGCGTCAAGTGTTGCAGCGCTGGCTGACAGACATGCAGGGAATCATCAATTTGTGACGTCACTCAGACCCCCCCCCCCCCCCCTCCCCTGGTGGACTGTCAGCTCTTCATTCGAGTGACCAACTTCGATGGGAAATCAACACATTTGTTGGAATAACACAAGACAGAAAAGTGAACTGTCCTTCAACTAGGAAAAATCTGAAAAAAGAGGGGTGGAAATTGAACACAATGTAGGAAAGCACTAAGAGCCTAATCTTTCAGGGACACATTCAATCCTGCATCACTTTCAAAATGTTTCAAAGATCCTTCAAAGCGGCTGAGAACACAAAAACAAGAACAAACACAAGATAAGTAGGCTCTGAGAAAAAAAAAAACGGCACATACTCTACTCATATAAACACACACAGTTACATAAACACACACACGGAGAACATCAAGCTGTGTTTTGAACAAGATCCCGCATTCTCTTAACCTTGATCCATTCCACTTTAAAGCTTGAAGTTCAAAGACTGGACAGGAGAGCCCATCAGAAAATGCTGTTGTATTATATAAAAACAAAAAAACAAAACTAGTAACAAACAAAGAATAGGAGAACAAAAAAAAGAGGAATATATAAAGTCCAGCACTGGAAGATGCACTTAATATCTGCCGAGTTTTGAATTAAGCCCAATGGGACAAACTTACAGTATCTAAACACAATAACTCACATGTAATATGTAATTCTCACACTTCAGAGCAGAAGAATTAACAGAGAAACATACACGTAGTTAGTAAATGATTAGAGGACAATGAAAAGTCAGATGCTCGAGAGAAGCTGTCCCTGCTGTTTGACAGAAAAGGGATTCTCAGCATGACTAGATGATATAATGAGCTGTTTTAATGGAGCTGATGGGATGAGAGGAGAAGACAGAGTACAGGAGAGAAGAGAGCAGCAGAGTAGATAAAAATTAATAAATACACACAAACACATGCACGACATGTAAGATGTTTCTTTTGTAGCACCATCAAACTGTGACAAACGTTTTGGCAGTAGGAAAGGTTAAGATGTCATTACCGGTGGATAAAAGTCACAGCAGTGAAGAAAGTGCAACAAGTGCGATGAAAAGGTGGAGCAGCACGGTTGGAAGGAGGACGGAGAGACAGTCCGAGGTTTTTATTTATTTATTTATTTATCATGTATTAGTTAGAAAAAAGGCGTGTGTCTGATGATAAACGAGGAGAGAAGGGGGCAGGTGGAGGGCGGTGCTAAAGGTCTCTGTTGATGATTTACATGCTCCATCGAGCAAACCGCTGGGGCGTAAAGAGTGACATGGTCTGTTCCTTCAACCTGTCTGATCCCAATCTCCGCTCTGTACCAGGTCTCTGTGCTGCCTGACTACCCTGTGGAGCTCCTCCTCCTCCTCCTCTAACCCCTCCATTTTCACAGCTCATCATGCACACCTCTGGAAAAATCAAAAAAAGTTAGTGCCTTTTGAGCTTCTGCAGCAGGGGCTGTGTGTGTGTGTGTGTGTGTGTGTGTGTGTGTGTGTGTGTGTGTGTGTGTGTGCGTGTGTGCGTAAAGGTTACTGTGATTTTCTTGTTTTATTTAGTTTCTATGAATGAGTGAAAGCAGTGTTGTAGTACTCAAGACCATTTTTTGATGGTATTGGCTGCATTTGTACTCGGACAT